CTTTATGCGCAGTTTGAAACCGCAGATTCTGTACTGCTTTGCATGCATATATTTAACAAAGGAAATATCTGTATACTGCAACAAGCTGGCTTGATGGAAGAATGCTTTACATTTATATCAAAAAAATCTTCCTCTCCTCTTTCTTTTTATCATATTTTGTCACCATCTGGTTCACATCTCAGTCCTGAAACAGGTCTTTAAGACTATACCCAGGAGCAGCACACAGCAAATAATTAAAATGGTGTAAAATCACTAGGAAGAAAGCCCTATAGAGATAAACTGGAATAATTATGGATTCATTATAAAACTAGCACATCAGAGGCATAAAAGTGATAGACAGAAAAGAGGTGGGGGGCACAGGGAGGGGGAGAGAGAGAGAAGAGAGTGAGAGAGAGAGAGAGAGAGAGAGAGAGGGGGGGGGGGAAGAGATTGAAGGAGAGAGAGAAAGAGAGAGAGAGGGAGAGAAGAAAGAGATCGAAGGAGAGAGAGAAGAAAGAAAAGAGAGAGAGAGGGGAGAGAAGAAAGAGATCAAAGAGAGAAGAGAGAGAGGAGAGAAGGAAAGAGATCAGAGAGAGAAAGAGAGAGGGGAGGGGGATAAATAGAGAGAGGAGAGAGAGAAAGAGATCAAGAGAGAGAGAAGAGAGAGGAGAGAAGAAAGAGATCAGAAGAGAGAGAGAGACAGAGAGAGATAAAAGAGAGAGAGAGAGAAGAAAGAGATCAGAGAGAGAGAGAGAGAGAGAAAGAGAGAGAGAGAGAGGAGAGAAGAAAGAGATCAGAGAGAGAGGGGGGGGGGTCAAAGAGAGATAGAGAAGAAAGAGATAAAGAGAGAGAGAAAGGGGGGAGAGAGAGAGAGAGAGATAAATAGAGAGATAAATGGAGAGAGAGAGAGAAGAAAGAGATCAGAGAGAGAGAGAGAGAGAGAGAGAGAGAGAGAAAAGAAGAAAGAGATCAGAGAGAGAGATATAAAGAGAGGATAAATAGAGAGAGAGAGAGAGAGAGAGAGAGAGAGAGATAAATAGAGAGATAAATAGAGAGAGGAGAGAAGAAAGAGATCAGAGAGAGAGAGAGAAGAGAGAGAGAGAGAGAGAGAGAGAGAGAGAGAGAGAGAGAGAGAGAGAGAGAGAGAGAGAGGGAGAGAGATAAATAGAGAGATAAATAGAGAGAGGAGAGAAGAAAGAGATCAGAGAGAGAGAGAGAGGAGAGAGAGAGAGAGAAGAAAGAGAAAGAGAGAGAGGGGGGGGGGGTCAAATAGAGATAGAGAAGAAAGAGATCGAAGAGAGAGAGAAGAAAGAGAGAAGAAGAGAGAAAAGAGAGAGAGAGAGAAAGATCAAAGAGAGAGAGAGAGTAAGAGAAGAAAGAGATCGAAGAGAGAGAAAGAGAAATAGAGAGATAGAGGGGAGAAGAAAGAGATCGAGAGAGAGAGATAGAGAGAAGAAAAGATGGGACCGAGAAACAACGAGTAGAGACTTTGGGGCTGATTTACTAAGCCCCGGTTCACATATATACAGCCATGCGGGCCGCATTTTGCACGGGTACGAGAGCCTATTCATTTGAATGGACTCCCATGCTCCGGGACACGCAGGGAAGAAGTCCCTGCACTTCTTTGGAAACCGCAGCCCACACGGGAAACCTCAGTTCCCAGTACAGTTGTGATTTCCAGTGCGGGCGACATGCCATTAGAATTAATGGCACCTGCCCGCGGGTCCGCATTCTTCTGCACGGATTTTTGTGTAGATCCGCAGCGGCACCACCCACACAGATGTGAACCTAGTCTAAAACTAGAAAGTACAAAATCTGGTGCTGCTGTCCATGCTAGCCAATCAGCTTGCAGTTTTTTTTTTAAAGCTTAAGTGAACAACAAGCTGAAGCTAGAAGCTGATTGGCTGCCATGGACAGCTGCACCAGATTTTGTACTTTCTAGTTTTAGTAAACAACCCCATACAGAGAGAGAGAGAGAGGAGAAAAGGAAAGGGAGATAAAGCAAGGGGGGGGGGGGGTGTTGTAAAGTGGTTGTAAACCCTTACATGTACTCAGTGCAGTGACTGGCCTCAGGTGATAGATACACAAAGATGATACAAATCCTCCTACATAAGTTGTACCTGCTTATCTGCAGTCTTCTCTTCTCTACATCTGTTCAAATTTATACAGCCTGTCTGTGCTTTCAGAAACAAGAGAGATGAAATTACACACTGCAGAGCTCAGTGAGGAGAGCTCTGAGAGCTGATTGAAGAAAAGGGACACCCCCCCCTTCACAATGCAAACAGGAACAGACTGTCAGACACAGGCTCTGTGCTGGAGGCCCTTTCCCTGTCACTATTTTTCTCTTGATGTCCGAAAAACTGGTCAGAAGTGGCTAATGCTGACAGCAGAGGAACAAGGCAGCAGACAGAAATTACACTTAGTGCTCTGGAGTGAGACAAATACACATTATAGAGGGTTATGCTTTGTACATATTTCATGTCTGAGGTTTACAAACACTTTGTTAAAGAAGAGGAGAGAGCAAAAAAGGCCTAGATAGATAGATAGATAGATAGATAGATAGATAGATAGATAGATAGATATAGAGAGAGATATATAGACAGACAGACAGAGAGAGAGAGATCGATCAAAGAGAGAGAAGAGAAGAAGAAAGAAATCGAAGAGAGAATAAAGAAGGGACCAAGAAACAACAAGTACACAGATTTTGGGGCTGATTTACTAAGCCCTGGTTCACATATATGCAGCCATGCGGGCCGCATTTTGCTCGGGCACGGGAGCCTATTCATTTCTTGTCTGAGGTTCAGGTACATGTACATATTTCATGTCTGAGGTAGGTTTACAAACACTTTGTTTAAAAAAGAAGGAGAGAGCAATAAAGGCCGAGAGAGAGAGAGAGAGAGAGAGAGAGAGAGAGGGGGGGGGGGAAGAAAAAGATACATAGATAGATACATAGAGATAGATAGATAGATAGATAAAATAATAGAGAGATAGAAAAAAGATAGATAGATAGATAGATAGATAATAGATAATAGATAGATAGATAGATAATAGATAGATAGATAAAAAATAGAATAGATAGAAAATAGATAGATAGATAGATAGATAATAGATAGATAGATAGATAGATAGATAGATAGATAATAGATAGATAGATAGATGGATAGATGGATAGATAGATAGAAAGAGAAAATAGATAGATAAGAGAAATGGATGGATGGATAGATGGATAATAGAAATAGAAAGATAGATTAGATAGATAGATAGAAAATAGATAGATCAGAAAATAGAAAATAGATAGACAGAAAGATAATAGATAGATAGATAGATAGATAGATAGATTAGAAAAAGATAGATAATAGATAGAAGATAGATAGATAGATAATAGATAAAATAGATAGATAGATAGATAATAAATAGATAGATAAGATAGATAATAATAGATAGATAATAGATAGATAGATAGATAGATAGAATAGATAAATTAGAGATAGATTAGATTAGATAGATAAATAATAGAGAAATATAGAGATAGATAGATAGATAATAGATAGATAGATAGATGATAGATAGATATATAGATAGATAGATAGATAGATAATAGAGAGAAAATAAGAGTTAGATAATAGATAGATAGATAAATCAAAAATAGAGAGATATAAGAATAGATAGATGAATAGATAAAATAGATAATAGATAGATAGAATAGATAGAAAATAGATAGATATATAGATAGATAGATAATAGAAATAGATGATAGAAAAGATAGATAGATAGATAATAATAAGAGATATAGAGATAGATAGATAGATAGATAGATAGATAATAATAGATAGATAGATAGATAGAATAGATAGATGATAGATATAGATAACGATATATAGATAGATAGATAGATAGATAGATAGATAGATAGATAGATAGATGCACAAGAGAAACAGTGTAATAATCAGAGGTACTATACTCTCATTTTGGTAAAATAAATAAAGTGAACCTGTCACCAGATAGATAGAAGATAGATAGATGATAGAATGATAGATGATAGATAGATAGATAGATAGATAGATAGATAATAGAGAGATATAGAGATAGATAGATAGATAGATAGATAGGATAGATAATAGATAGATAGATAGATGATAGATAGATAGATAGATAATAGATAGATAGATAGATAGATAGATAATAGAGAGATATAGAGATAGATAATAATAGATAGATAGATAGAGATGCACAAGAGAACAGTGTAATAATCAGAGAGTACTATTACTCTCATTTGGTAAAATAAATAAAGTGAAAACCTGTCACGAGAACAGAGTAGGTTGCGACAGTTTGTGGGTCAATCAGTGGCCCATATGTTCATATAAGTGTTTGGCAGAAACAAGCCCGCTGTGAACAATGCTGTACATCCTCTGGCGATATTTATCCAAACAATAAATTGGCCGCTTCCATTTAGCTTAGAAATCTACCGACTTGTAAATTGCAAAATCCATCCCACAAGGTTTATCTGATTTAATAGAGTAAAATCCCAGCCTATCCAGTGAGTTGAGTGGGCACTGATCACTCTCAGGAAAGCAATATTTGCACAGACGAATTCAGAAGATTGCTGGGGGTCTGCATGCAATCCTTATGCCCTGGCACCTCATGACTCCCTCTGTTCTCTAAGTGCTCATTTATAAGGTTTATGGCTAACAGGGGTTTACTTAGCCATTTGCCCTCTGGAAGATTTTACCCCTTCATGACTCATGACCAGGGCATTTGTTTGCTATTCAGCACTCTGCTACTTGTATTGGAAATTGCACAGTTATGTGACACTGTACCAAAATGAAGTTGATATTTTTTTTGTTAACACAAAAAAGAGCATTCTTTTGGTGGTATTTGATAACCACTGGGGGTTTTTATTTGTTATTATATAAAGGAAAAACAGACCATAAATTAAAAAAAAAAAAAAAGAATACAAACAGTGGCGAGTGGAGACTCTCCTGTATCCAGTGAGGAAATGTTGAATCATCTGTGGCACTCACCTCCCCGGCAGGCCTGGATAAAGAACATTTTAGGTTTGTTCTGTAGCTGCGGGCAGTGAGCGTTATCCAGTATCACGAAGATGTCCTGCAACTGTCATGAAAAGAAGTGTTACCACACTCACATAAACACACGGCTCACAATCTGCACAACACAAAATGCTGTCAGAGGCTGTGTTCCCTGTATTCGCTATTTATAAATTGTACTAATTACAAATACGTATGTGAGTCAGGTTTACTTCACTTTTATTGTAAACTTTCTAGTGCATCCCAGGGACCCCAGTACATAGCGCAGTGCAGATACATTTTTCCTCTGAAATTGTATACCTTTAGGGCAATGCCTGGCAATAGGACGTCCAGTCAGTCTAAGCACCCCTATTCTGATCAAAGAAATGAAGTACACAAGTCACAATTTTTTACCTCCCTGTCAGAAGCGCAGAGCTCAGGTGGAAAATTTATATATACAGTTGTGTTCAAAATAATAGCAGTGTGTTGAAAAAAGTGAATTAAGCTCAAAATGGACTCGCCTGCTGCATCATTTTTTCACTTTGATTTTCGGGGTATCTTTGTATTCAGGCCTCTGTAGGTCAATCATTTTCATCGAACGATGGGGCATCCTTACTTTCCTAACACATTACCCCGTCCATATCAGTATAGAGATCCAGCAGGAGATTTTTCCCCATTGAGATTGGATGTGTTTTCAAAGTGTTCCTTTCATTTGTTTGAGCCGTGTGTATACAGTTGTGTTCAAAATAATAGCAGTGTGTTGAAAAAAGTGAATAAAGCTCAAAATCCTTCTAAAAGCTTTTATTTCCATCCACACAAATGCATTGGGAACACGACACATTCTATTCCAAATCAAAACATGAAGAAAAAATACATCAAATTTTTGTGTTGTTCCTCTAAAAAAAAATTAAAGAAAAGTGAATATTAGACGGTTCAAAAAAAATCGCAGTGTTTGTATTCTTCTTTACAAACTCAAACATTCACTATATTAAACTGAGAAATGTTTGAAGATTTTGCTTTCCTTTGAATGACTTCATGAATATTTGGTTGTAGTCGCACTGTTTCTGAGAACTGCTGTACATCTGTGTTGCATGGAGTCACCCAACTTCTGGCCCCTGTGATCAGGTATTCCAGCCCAGGATGATTGGACCACATTCCACAGTTCTTCTCTATTTCTTGGTTTTGCCTCAGAAACGGCATTTTTGAGGTCACCCCACAAGTTTTCTATTGGACGAAGATCCGGGGATTGGGCTGGCCACTCCATAACGTCCATCTTGTTGGTCTGGAACCAAGATGTTGCACGTTTACTGGTTGTGTTTTGGGGTGGTTGTCTTGTTGGAACACCCATTTCAAGGGCATTTCCTCTTCAGCATAAGGCAGCATGACCTCTTCAAGTATTCTGATGTATTCAAACTGATCCATGATCCCTGGTATGTGAAAATAGGCCCCAACACCGTAGTATGAGAAACATCCCCATATCATGATGCTTGCACCACCATGCTTCACGGTCTTCACAGTGTACTGTGGCTTGAATTCAGTGTTTGGGGGTCGTCTGAAAAACTGTCTCCGGCCACTAGACCCAAAAAGAACAATCTTACTTTCATCAGTCCACAAAATGTTGCGCCATTTCTCTTTAGGCCAGTCAATGTGCTCTTTGGCAAATTGTAACCTCTCAGCACATGACTTTTTTCCAACAGTGGGACTTTGCGGGGGCTTCTTGCAGATAGCTTGGCTTCACATAGGCGTCTTCTAATTGTAACAGTCCTCAGAGGGAACGTCACACCTTCTTTTCATCTTCCTGGAGCTGATTGTTGGCTGAGTCCGCGCCATTTTGGCTATTCTTCTATCCATTCCAATGGTAGTTTTTCGGTTTCTTCAACGTCTTTCAGGTTTTGGTTGCCATTTTAAAGCATTTGTGATCATTTTAGCTGAGCAGCCGATCCGATCATTCTCTTGCACTCCTTTATATGTTTTCCCCTCTCCAATCAACTTTTTAACCTCCCTAGCGGTCTGATTATGTCCATATTTCTGTGCTCAAAGCGGTACATTTTTTTGCATGGAAATATGTATTTTTTTTATTGTAGGCTGTAATTTTTAGGAATAACTCACTGAAATCTGTCTGAACAAGAGTCTAGTAAACATCCCGGGTAGGATAAAATTTGAAACACGAAATCATAAATTATAATTTAATAAATAATCATAAAAAATAATAATATTATAATAATAAATTTAATTCAATATAATCAAACCAAAAACACTTAAATTTGAAATATAGCGCCAAGTTCACACATCGCTGAGCAAAGTCGCAAAATCGTTTTCAGTGTCTGATGAGGAATTTCCCCACAAATCATTATCACTCAATTCTGCAAGTGGTTCTGATTTACTATCGCTGTTCTCTAGCCGGTCTAAAACCGCTTTTGACCTAAAGGGACGCTTTTTGGACGCCATGGACGTTTCTCAGTTTCCAGGCAGAAAGAACAGTAAAAATGCAGGCAGGGCGCAGGACAAAGCACTCGGGACAAAATGTATGTGAAATGGTTTGATACAGGAATGTTATACTATGTGATTTTAGTGTATTTAGTGAATGACATTTTTTACCATTTTCAAATTTCCCGCCGTTCCGTCCCCCGTACGTCCCGACGCTCGCAGGGGACGGAACCCAGATGACAGGTTCCGACATCCGCCGGATTACATTGCCGGGGACACTGCAATGAGGGACATCGCGGGAGTGCAGGACAAGGTAAGTGAAGAACAGATGCCGGAGCAGCGCCGCATGGTAAGCCCGAGTGTAGCTCGTAGTTACCGCTTTTGGTACTGAAACTTTACCCCGAGCTACACTCGGGAATACCGCCAGGGGGGTTAATTGAGGTACGCTGTTCTTCTGAACAATGTCTGGAACGACCCATTTTCCTCAGAATTTCAGAGAGAAATGCACTGTAACCAGCATGTACAACATTTGCTGCCTTCCTTCCTTAAATAAGGGCAATAATTGCCACCTGTTTTTCAAAGAATGAATGACCTCACTAATAGAACTCCACACTGCTATTATTTTGAACACGCCCCTTTCAATGAGTGATTCAATGACACAGAATCAGCAGCATGCATGTCATGACTGTTGGGTCCGTTGGATTTCTATTACTCTACTACACCTGCTAGGAAATTATTTGCCAGGTAGAAATATCATTTCTACCAAAAACAGTGATTGATCCGGTTTGTGATGTCTGACAGATATTATTTTGAACACAACTGTACATACAGAAGAGTCCGGAGTGAGAAGCTTGTTTACATGCTTCTCTTCTCCTCCTGTGCAGGCAAGCATTAGATATTGCATTAATGCATGTGTCAAACACAAGGCCCACGGGCTGAATCCGGCCCACCAGGCCACTTCATGTGGTCTTTGCACCTCTCCTGCAGCTGCAGCTCCCCCCTCGTCTCCCTCCTACCTTGTCTCAGCAGTCTGCAGCAGAGGAGGACAAAATTCCCCTGCCAGATCCTGCGCTTCTCTGTGCAGCTGAAGCACCCCCCTCGTCTCTGCCTCCCCTGGTCTCAGCATTCAACAGACTACAGTTTTACAAGCATTAAAAGCTCTCCCCAAACGCCCTATGAGTGGTTTTGAGGTGTTTTATAAGCGTTTTCCAAGTGTTAAAACTGCCCCACAAACTCCTATAACAAACCCTTATGTTATTAACGCGCCACCATCGCACTGAAAACGCCCCACAAATGCCAAGTAAATGCCTGCCAGGGCGTTTGAGGAGCGTCACCATAGACTTGAATGGGAGGCGTTGAAAGGCTTCGGCTCCTCCTGACTCGACATGGGGCTTCAATTTTGAAGCAATGTAAACACTAACGCTTCATGATTTGATAATGTGAACAGCACTGTATAGTAGGATTTCCATAGGCATTTGAGGAGAGTTAAAAATGCCCCTCAAATGCCTGTTTTCCAAGCCTGTGTGAACTAGGCCTAAGGGATATGAACTTTCATCCCAGGAACTGAACTACAGTGACTGACATGTCTACAGCTGTAAAAAACAGCATCTTTTGAAATCAGGACTCAATTGCCGTATGTCAAAATGGAGGGGTAAGTGACACTTTCAGGAATATGACTTTGCATATGCTGATTTGCATTCCTAGTAGGTTTAATCACTGCAGAGGCACTGACCCTTTAAAGACAATCAGTTAGTTTGCCACTTGAAACAAAGTAACAGGCCATCTTGTCAGAGCACCCCTCAAGCCACTCATACCTATGCACAGGGGCGGACTGACAACTCATGGGGCCCCCGGGCAATAGGGGATTATGGGGCCCCTGTGTCCTTCCCCAAACTCAAAAAAGTCTATGAAAAAGGTACCAGGGGCATCTTATGGGGCCCCCTACTGACCCCGGGCCCTCGGGCAGTGCCCAAGTTTCCAAATGGTCAGTCCGCCCCTGCCTATGCACAATGTACTCATCTATTAGAGCCAGTACCTTGCATATAACTTTTTTCCCCCTCTAAGATGCTGTGTTTGATCTGAGTGCCCAACTGACAAGTTCCGAACATTATTTATGGGAGGGGCACGAAGATGGCTGCTAGATACATGGGAGGGGCATGAAGATGGCAGGAGGTGGCTGCTAGATACCTGAGCTCCACACCACCCGGGGTCCTACGTGCAGGACCAACACCACTAACTGCCTTCTCACCCAGATGCCCAAGGGCAAGAAGTTGTCAAACACCTCCTGGCAAGGTGGGGGGGGGGGGGGGGGCATCAAAATTCATCAATATCTGCTAGGACCCACTGCCATCAGTCTACTGAGTGTCCAAAATGGCGCCATCCCACTTGCCAGCTCATCGAGGCAGACACTGCGAGCCGCTTCAACGTCTCACTCCATGGACACCACAGAAGAACGGAAGGATGGTGGCTCCTCTCCGATCCCCACTCTTGAACTCCCAGGGCGATCTTCAGAGTCTCCATAGCCTCGCTCCCTAGTATCTGGACTGATGATGGGAAACTCTGTGATATTCTACGCCAGCCTTTATCAACCAGGATGCATTGAGGTTTCTTCAGGGGTGCCTTCGCAAAATGTCTAAAAATTGCCCAAAATTTGTATACAAGCCAGCAGGTGGAACAAGCCTGCCTTTTAGTTACACAAATCCACAGGTTTTCATTGTGCGCCACTACGACCTTCTAGCTGCTGGCGTCCTGACAACCAATGACATCATCAGTTGATAAGGAGGATGTCAGCTGCCTGCACAGCACCCTAGTTTGACCCTCCCCCGCCCCTCTCCATCAGTGCTGGGTTCACATTAGTTCAGTGATGGAGAAAAACTGAGGGAGAGGAGAAACACTGGTATATACTAGTCAGTACAGGTGTGCAAAAGTGTATTTGCTTTGGAAGAATAAATCATCTCTAATATTGGATGTCCTACGTGTGTGGATGTTGCTGCGTTATGTAAAACTATTAGAATAGTTCTTCACATTTTAGAATTGGGTGCCCTTTTAAAATTATGGGCAGTCTTGATGCACCCCATTTTAGTAGGAGTGCCTCAAGACTGTCCATAATTTTGAAGGGTTCCTCGGGACTATCCATAATTTTAATGGGTTCCTTGACTGAAAAACGGTTGAGAAACACTGTTCCACGCTACCTCCCCTCTTGCCTGGACAACATGGTGAAATGGATTGAGGGGACACTGCACAAAGAACTTTCTACCCTTCAGTCAGACATGACAGGTCTGGAAGAACATGTGACAGCCATTGAAAAGTCCAGTGAGGTGGTGAGTTTCTGTATGAATGACTTTTCTCATTCTGTCAGTGATCAGTGTGTTACTTCTACCTACTTGCAGTTGGAGGAATTAGTAAACAAGAGTAGGCACAATAATTTGCAGATTAGGGGTTTTGCTGAGGACACCCAGGAGCCTGATCTGTTATTTATGGGATGGGAGAAGGTTATCAACCCTGCATAAGCTCTGACAGATACTGCGAAGTGAAGCAAAATGAAAGAGCGCACCAACCTTGCGCATTACCTCAGTAATTCAGTGATTTTATTTCATAAAATATATATACTCACAAACAAGGATGTAAAACAAGCATTACAGATCCTTAAAGAAACTGGGGAGTGTAGAGCCAATGTAAGTCAGTGTCAGGGCTCCGGGTATGACCAGAGGTGTGTGTGGACTGACACAGGGAAACGCAGGCTTCAGATATGGTATAAACAATATAATTTATTAAGACTAACAATACAAAACGCATTGCAAAACTAAACATAAACACAGTGCAAACAAACCAAACCAAACCACCCACCAATAACAATACATACAATACAAAGAGTAGTCAGGCAGGCCGGGTCAGTAGCAAACGGGCAAACGGAGTACCAGGAACAGGAGGGAGAGTGGTCGAGGTCACAAGCTGGGTTCAGTAACTCACGGGCAGCGCGGTACAGAGGGTCGGGCAGAGAATGGTCAGGGTCACAAGCCAGGGATCAAGCAGGAGAAGTCAGCAGAGGTCAGGATCAGGCAAGGTCGGCAACAAGTCAGACAGGAACAGGAATACAGGATACACGGTACAGGGGCCCATGGAAAAACACACACCAAGGCCCTGACTGTGAGTCTGGCCATTCCTTAAATACAACCCCTGCAATCAGCTTCAGGTGTTTGGCTGATTGCAGGGGTGAGTCTCTGATTGCTGAGAGCACCCGCTGGCCAGCCCTGGTACTGCAGCCCACAAGGCAGGTGAGTCCCACCATTATTGGCAAGTCCATTCCTGACAGTCAGGTCACGAGGGTTGACTTTCAAAGTGAGGCTGACGCGTTTCGAAGGGAGACCCTTCTTCATCAGAGCTCTTATCTTTAGATAAGCTCTGACAGAGACCAAATTGAAGCTAGACTCAGGTCAGGCAGGCATTAGACTCGGTACCTACAGATAAACAGTGCAGTGGGGGAGTGCAGACAAGATAATTATCTGTGGGTGCCCTAAGCAAAAAGACCCATCACTTTGTCCTTTAAAACCAATACAGCTATGCCCGCTGCAACAGTTCTATACTTCGGAATCCCTTCATGGCAGGGAACAGACCAAAATTATTTTCGGTTTAAGAAAAGACATTCTGCATATAAAACCTCCCAGCAATAAAAGTGTAAATATGTTATATTTAGAGAACTAAGCAGCCCTATCATACTCTACAGAAAATGTTTTTTTTTACTTAGACCAGAGTTCTGCTCTGAATAAACAAAGCAGGGAATTGTGTATAAAGAATATGCAGAGCCCATAAATCATTCTTCCTACCTTGACCAATTGGCTGTCAGTTCCATATATAGCACCGTCGACTCCGTGAGATAATATGGCTACAATGGCGGAGTCCAGATGGGAGTGTTCAGGCAGTGAGGAGAAATGGACCAGTTCGGACATCATTTTCTGTAACAGGAGAATGACAACCGTAGATCAAAGGTTACGTATGACATAACAACATTATACAGCACTTACATAGTGATATGAAAAATGGGACCTGCGGTAACAGCAAACCACAAATCAATAGTACACAATCTAATATTTCAGCATTAACTGGAGGATAATCATATTTTTGTATTTGCCATAAAAGTATTTTCTTTGGGCATGACAAGTCATAAAGACTAAAGGAAGGCAACACTACAGTATGTGATGGTTTAAATTAAATACCAAGACTAACTTGAAGTCTCAATGTCCCAAAACAACTTTGTCCTTGTAAAGAACAAGAAACGGTTCCTTACAGAAGAAGGCTGCAAGTTCACACACTCTCCTGAGAGTACCGATTGCCACAAGAAAGGCAACCTTGCAGGAACGCGCTGGCAGGAGTCAGAACGCGTGATGTCAGCACGCACCGGAGCGCGGCGGCCATCTTGTTGGTTAGAAACTTACCATTCGGTTATATGGCGACATGCTGTTTTAAGTACATCTTGATGTACGTATAATACTACGTTGTAAGGCAATAAATCCTGCTAATTATACCATACCATGACGATTCTTTTGCTTTTTAGATGATTTTGTCCTCTTTGATGATAATTCATTATTTTAGGTCTGTATTTGGCAATTTATCTGAAGTATCAGTTTGGGAGCTTATGCCTTGATTTGGGAATCCAGTGAGAGTGATCCTATTGGCGTCTATTTACATCCAGTGTATGGAGTGCACCATATTTCCTCAAAGTCAGCAATAACGGAGTTCGTCATCCTAATTTGGTATATGTACTATGCTTTTCTTGACCGTCACTTAATTGTGGGGTCATATATGTCTGGTAAGCAGAAGTATTTTTTGAGGTGCTGTTGATGGTGGATCCTCAAGAAAGTCTATTTTTTTAATTTATATTTTTTTGCATATATATTTTTTTTGGAATCACAATTTTTCCTGAAATTATTTAAACTTTAATTTTTCACTAAAGACTTTTGTTTATTTAAGTTTTTTTTGCACATTATTGGACATTATAATTTTTTATGTACTATTTTTTATGGTTAGTAGTGAATGTATAGCGCTGCACTTTTTTGTTTATTAACCTTGCAGGAAAGAAGAGTTAGAAATGTCATGACTAGGCCCAGATAGTGACACATAGGGGTTTATTTACTAAAGCTGGAGAGTCCAAAATCAGACTCCCTTCTGCATAGAAACCAATCAGCTTCCAGGTTTCATTGCCAAAGCTTCATTGAACAAGCTGAAGTTAGAAGCTGATTGGTTTCTATGCAGAAGGGAGTCTGATTTTGGACTCTCCAGCTTTAGTAAATAAACCCCATGGAGTCATTGTAGAGTGTACTGGTGGTACGATGTGAGCCACCTCTTGTACAAAGGCTCTGACCAAGGAATGGAATGCTAGCAGTGTCAGAAATATCACCACCAGGATGGAACACAGGACCTTGTGAAAGAAGGTCCAGGCGGTATGGAGGGACCCATTCCAGGACACCTCCCCAGCCCCACATGTTGGCATCTGTCATCAGTACCTTCCACACAATGGTGATAAAGGATTTTCCGAATTCCAGCGCAGGGATATATAGTCATCAATTGCAAGGCAATCTTGCTGCTGGTGCTCAGATGCATGCAAGGAATGACTTAGAACAGTGGGTGTAGTGAAAAGGTCTTTGCAGCTGTAGGGGCTCTGAAACACCCAAGGTTGGGAGACTGCAAGCTGAACCTCCAAAAGCAAAGTAGTGTGTACTGCATTAAAAAAAGCTGAAGAGGTCTCTTGCTAGCCTGAGGTAATGGCAGGAGGCTGCAGTGAGTCAGAGATGGTTATTGTAATTGATCTGTACTGAGGCTTTTGGGTAGATCAGAAAATAACACTGCAGGGGAAGGCTTGGAAGTGTGCTTAGAGCCTTGATGGTCAGTATCTGTAAGGAATGGGGTAAATGTGCCCACAAAGACTTGAGTGACTGCAGTGGAGGGATGTGACAACAATGTAGGAAACTTGGTCTCATCCAATAGAGGTAGACCCTATAACTACAGGGTTAATGGATTGCAGAAGTCTTGGTCCTCTAATGGCAAGAAAGTAAACATCCCCAGGGCCATTAGGAATATGTGTGCTGGGGTCACCCAGTGGCTGTCCACTATATTGAGATATAGACATGTTGCGGCCATACATGCCATTAATACAACTAGCCTCTAAGCACATAACCAGGCTTCATGTACTCAAAAACTCAGGCAGCTGATGAGTGTTGGTTTGACCAGACTTGACCAGAACTACTGTAGGCGGGCAGTAGGAATGAATTGGGAGACTGCAGTTCCTCATAGTTCTCTCACAGGAGCAGCAGTGGGGCAATGCTTCCTCTAAGCCAGGGGTAGGCAACCTGAGAGCCGCAGGACTACAAGTTCCATCATGCCTCTGCAAGTCATAGCTGTAACTTTCAGTTTTGTAATCTTTGCAATGCCTCATGGGAAATGTAGTTCCACAACAGCTAGAGAGCCACAGGTTCCCTACCCCTGCTCTAAGCCAAGAAAGAGAAAGGAACATGTAAGTAAGCAGGCGCAATACTCTACCTAGTGGATGACATCAGTGCCCAGTCCCTCAGGGTTAATCCCCTCCACAGTGAAACCAGCAGTAGTGGGAAATGGAAAAGGCACACAACAGTGCGAATAACAAGGTAGTTACTGAAGGTCAGTTTGTTTGGCTCATCAATAGAGTGAGCCTTCAAAGTTAGGGCAAGTGCTGAGGCACTGCCAATACCTCTAGACCTAGAAAGTACTCTGCGACTTACTTATACCAGTGTTGGGTCTGGAATGTGACAGTAGCGGAGCCCAGTGCCCGAAGGTCAGTTCTAGGCTAGTCCCGCAATGTCCAGTCCAACGGGATCCAGTACTTCAAAGCTAGGCTGGAGGAAGACTGATCCCAATAGCTGCCATGTGGGGAAAAGGTTAAGGGATCTTAACTTAAGAAGAAATCCATGAAAAAAGCTAGTACAATGCTGGCTAGACTTTTGAAAACCAACAAACCTCCTAGGACACTAGCAAAAACCGAGAGGAGGGACTACGCATGGGCTGACTTGCTGTTTTTCTGTTTGTCACTATCCAAACCTCCTGTAACCAGCAGTATAACGTGACTGTTTCTGAATTCTTATGTCTCTTAAGTGGACAAAAAAAGAAAACATCCTTGTTTTAATGGTTAGCTCCAGGGCTTTAATGAAACAAAACCAATTTATTGAAACAGCTTAAAATAATACTTTGAAAAAAAACTTATGCTGGGATCGAGATAATAGCAGGTTACTTGGTCTCAACAATGGGAGGATCATTGTAAAAAGATACTCCAGCAGATCCGCCTGGACAATGGTCATATATGATCAAGCTGAATCTTTTATAAGATAATGATGTCAGCTAATAAATTACTCATTAAGTTCCCCATACACATCTGCCTCCTTGGATCAATTATTAAAGCCCAACCCCAGCCTGAATTTTTTGTAATGTCTTCCTGACAGTTTGAAAAATCAATAGTTCTGGCTGCAATACTCTTCCAATACTGCATATTAATAGCAGATATTTAATAGCAGATGTACAAAATAGTAATCTTTCTAAGTTACAGATGAAGAAAAAAAAAAATCGTTACATACCTGAGCAGTTAAATCACTCCGGAAGATAACCTTATAGTTGAATTTAAAAAAAACAAGTGTTTCAGGGAAGTCTCATCCACTTCTCCTCCATAGCGATGACCCAGTTCAGGATCGGAAAACTGGATATTGCTGATAACTAGGGCTAAGCCACGAGGGAGAGTGCTCATCTTATAGGCCTGGAGGGAGACACATAGAAGGATTCAAACTTTCACATACTCTGCAGCTAACAAACTACCCGGGCTGCAGGCTGCAATTAAAATCAAACTACATACTGTGATTACCCCTTTGCGCCTCCTGGCCCTTTAAGAGTTTCAGAAGCCGGGAGGCGGGTGGGGTTTTAGGGTCATGTGATCGCCGTGATTTGCCGTCATGGCGTTCATATGATCGGAAAAGGTCCTGATCGAAAAGGAAGATCAGGACCTTTCTGTGAGTTACAGACATATGCGCAGGGAGCGCGCAGGGCACGTGCTCTCAGCACATACGTATTTTCTAATTGTATGCAAATATGCGTCAAGGCCCAGACCCCGAGAGGCTGCATATTTGCATGCGCTCAGCATCAAGGGGTTAAAGTACAGGAAGTCCTCTACATACGAATGAGTTCAGTTCCCAAAGCACATTCGTAAGTCCAATTTGTTTGCAATTCCCCAGTTAGCCTAGGTACCCAACTAACACAATCGACCTATTAAATTACTGTAATAGGTTTAAAAACACATTTCACACAAATAATACATGGAATAAGGTTGACATAAAGATACAGTACTGCATGCGGTAAAGTACACAGAAGCACCAACATCTGTAAAAGAATGAACGCATGAGAATGTACGCTGCAAATGTGAACCAACTCACACAACTGGACATGCAAACGCATGTTCGTATCTTTGAAAGTTTGCAACTTGAAAGTTCACATGTAGCGGACTAACTGTACCAAAGATTGACCTGATATCAGTCCTCTAGACTGGAAGAGGAAGGAGCAGCAAGATGAGCCAATCAGTTTTGCTGCAGAGCTTTGGTGCTAAAAAAGACATGCTCTTAGGAGGAGAAACAAAGTGATAGAGATGAGTTCAGCAGTCTGCTACCTCTCCTTTTATTATCCAGTCACATGGTAGGGGAATTCAAGACCTACAAGTGTTATTGGCAGAGTTGTGTTAATCCCACGATTACATAATGCTTTGGCACACATATCTTAGGAATTTCATCTGTGTATTTATTTCATTTTTTTACATATTTATTAAAGGACAACTTTACCTTTGATACAAGTTGTCCTTTAAGGCATGCATTCACGCCCCTCAACCTTTATTTCCAACAGTGTTCCTGCAGGTTCTTTTATACCTTGTGCATGCATCTCACAACCCCATTCACGCCTATAGGAAGCCCTGCACTCTGCAGGAACGCTGAAGGCTGCTATGCGTATGGCTTGGTATAGGAATGAATGTGGCTGTGGTTGTGTTTTGTGGTCCACATCAGAAGTGAAGCTACAGAAAAGCTATAAATTGCACAGTGTACCATATGTGATACTTCTTTTTAATTTGCACTTTTCAGGACGGGGTTCCGGGGTGTACCCTCTTTTTCTGAGGTTCAAGCAGTACTGATATACTAGGCAGTAAGAAAATGTTGAGAATAATAATCTTGGAAAAGAACAAAAAAAAAAAAAAAGAAAAAACTCAAAATTCTAATTTAAGGCTAAGTTCACAGATTGTGATCTGACTTTCAGTGTGATTATGTAGTGCTACTTGGATGCAACTAGGATGTGGTTTAAATATTTAATGGAGACAAAATCGCTCCAAATACAGGAACCTTTTCCAAAATCGCACTGTGCCTAGTTGTATCGATGTGAATGGGTACCAATGAAAACAATGTGATTTCCATTTTCATGCAATTCTGTGTGACTTAAAGTGGAGTTCCACTCACCCTGTCAAAAAATAAAAGTCAGCAGCTATAAAAACTGTAGCTGCTGACTTTTAAAAAAACAGCCACTTACCTGTCCCTCGGTCCCGTGGTGTGTCCCCCGCAGCCCGTTTCACCGGCCGTCCTGTATTCCAGGAGGCCGGCATCTTCAGTGTGGGCACCCGGCTGTGATAACTTGCGGCTTCACAGCCGGGTACCCACTGAGCATGTGCGAGTAGCTCTGCGCTTCATGAATGGTCCTGTAGTCTTCTGGGACCTGTCACCTGTCCCAAAAGACTACAGGGAGGGAGGACACCTTCCGATCGCCTAGGCGATCGGACCGGAAGTGGGAACGGGTACCTGTCAAATTCATGTACCCGCCCCAATCCTTAATGGGGGAGCGGGGGAGCAGTCCTTAAGGCGGAACTTTCCCTTTTGGGTGGAGCTCCGCTTTAAGTCCCATCTGAAATCGAATCATTGTGAACAAATCCTAACTGTTAGTGCAAATAAAAGAGCATTACAGACAGCACTCAATTGTGTTGTTGCAAGTACACTAATTGGGCTATAATCACCTTAAACTATAAAATGCAGAATGGGGGAGATTTACTAAAACAGGTGCACAGAGAATTTGAGGCAGCTCTGCATAGCAACCAATCAGCTTCCAGGTTTTAATGTCACAACATATTTAAAGAAGAACTCCAGGATAGGAAAAACAAACACCCATTAGTACACCCTTCTACACAAAACACTAAACAGTTAATAACATTTTGAAAATTCTTACTATCGAGGAGAAGAAGTTTGATTGAATTTTCACAACCTCATCTATACCTATAGACCTATAGAACCAAGGGAAAAGAGAACAAGCGCCATCTGGGTATAGGATAAAAAATCAATGTTTTAATTATCTCAAAAGTAACACACTCACAAAAGGAAAAAAAAAATGGCCGTTTTTGCTCATCACATCTGGTCGTAACGTTACTTCCACCTGCCAGCTGCGTTCCACGCAAATTGGGAAGCCCTGGGAGCCACCAGATCAGTCCACCAGCGTGACCACAGCCTTGGCCATCCGGCGAACCAGGACTGGGATTGATGGCAGCCACTTACTCAGCGCTATATGCCCATTTTACATCTCCTTTTGTGAATATATTACTTTTGAGATTATTAAAACATTTATTTTAACACTACACCCAGATGTCACTTGTTCTCTCTTCCCTTGATAACAGCAGAGATTATATCATATCCTTTCCTCTCTCTGCTGTAAAAGGAAACTACAGTACCCATCAACCAAAGGGAATTGTAGTGAATGTGGGCGGGTACACTAGGTGAATGTGTGAGAGTCTGAGAGTGCCCCCACTGCAAGTGGGGCTGAATGACATCACTGCTTCCTGGAGAAAGAACTACAGAAGGGATGTGCCAAGACCGGTGGCTGGGGGAATAGGAGACATAGCAGCCACTGGTCTTACAAACAGAAAACCAAAGAGAATTAACGGTTTGATTTAAAAATTAATAGGCTATTACAGAGCAACTACTGAGTGAACCGGAAGATGGATGACATATTCAGTGAAGGTAGGAAATCAGCATCAAGGACATAGCCCAGATTTCTGCTTTAAAGCTGAAGTGAGAAGTTGATTGGTTACTATGCAAAGCTGCAGAGTCTGTGTGTACCAGTTTTTAGTAAATCTCCCCCAACGTTCTTTATTTTTTGCAGGAACCCATAAAGACAAGGATGTACTAACCTGTTTATGGTGAGAAAGGAAGAAATCTACGCTGGTGTGACTCACGCTTACTGGACCATCTCCATCATCTATGCTCATCTCAAAGGATTCTGGGAAATAGCAAAGTAGGCCATGGTCAGGGGAACAATTTATTTAACAAGAGCGGGTTAACAGAATGCATAAATCTTAGATACATTTCAAGGGATACTGTCGTGAAGCAAAACAATGATGTGATCAGGCTCTGATGGAAGCAGTCATTTCCTAACCCATGCATACTACTTTCAGGACAATGATTCGTATAACGGTTTAGTTTTACAGCCCTGAAATTAGTGAGGAACAATGGTTGAATCTATCACAGCCATTTCTCACTCTAGGTCAGCGGTTCTCAACCTGTGGGTCGCGACCCCTTTGGGGGTCGAACAACCCTTTCACAGGGGTCTCCTAAGACCATCGGAAAACACATATTTCCGATGGTCATAGGAACCGAGACAACGCTCTTCTATCAGTCTCCAGGCGGTCTGCCCACATGCAGATACTATTCCCCCCCCCCCCCCCCCCACTGACACCAACGATGGGGAACTATTTCTCCCCCCACTGACACCAACGATGGGGCACTATTCCTCCCCCCACTGACACCAACGATGGGGCACTATTCCTCCCCCCCACTGACACCAACAATGGGGCACTATCCCCTCCCACTGACACCAATGATGGGGCACAATTCCCCACTGACACCAATGATGGGGCACAATTCCCCCTCACACTAGTATCAATGATGGGGCACTATTCCCCCCCCCACTGACACCAATGATGGGGCACTATTCCCCCCCCCACTGACACCAATGATGGGGCACTATTCCTCCCACTGATACCAACAATGGGACACTATTCCTCCCACTGACATCAGTGATGTGGCACTATTCCTCCCACTGACACCAATGATGGGGCACAATTCCCCACTGACACCAATGATGGGGCACTATTCCTCCCACTGACACCAATGATGGGGCACTATTCCTCCCACACTGACACCAATGATGGGGCACTATTCCCCACTGACACCAATGATGGGGCACAATTCCCCACTGACACCAATGATGGGGCACTATTCCCCCTCACACACTAGTATCAATGATGGGGCACTATTCCCCCCCCCCACTGACACCAATGATGTGGCACTATTCCTCTCACTGACACCAATGATGGGGCACTATTCCTCCCACTGATACCAACAATGGGACACTATTCCTCCCACTGATACCAATGATGGGGCACTATTCCTCCCACTGATACCAATGATGGGCACTATTCCTCCCACTGATACCAATGATGGGGCACTATTCCTCCCACTGACACCAAAGATGTGGCACTATTCCTCCCACTGACACCAATGATGTGGCACTACTCCTCTCACTG